TTCTTCAAAGCTTAAGATATTGTTGCCAATTATGGCTCCCATAAAAGCCTCTGAGGCTTTTATGGGACAGCTGCCTATATGCTTGGATTAAGTTACACACTTGTGGACTCTAATAGTTTGGGAAATTGTTTGTAATGGATTTTATTCAGGGATGTTAGCAAGTTCAAACAGTGCAGCGCTTTAGCATTTTGTTCCTTCTTTTTGACAACTCTTTACATGTATTTCTGGTCTGACTCCTCAAAAAGACATTAAGAGTTTTTATATTGTCAAAACATTTAAGTTAAAAGGGGTATACGTAAATTCATTTGCAATGCAATTTTGTGAAGTGCTTTGAGAGAACAGTAAGTGGCGACATAATGGTAACACAGCTACTGTAACTAAACCCGAAATGTTTAATCCATGCTGGGAGTGAATCTGACTGAATGAGCTGCACTTTGCAGCGTTGAGTGGTGCCAACAGAGTTACACACACTGGGAATCCTAATAGTGTTTAATGGGAGTGTAGTATACATCACCATATAAGTAAATGAGTAAATAAGTAAAATGTAACATAGATTTTTTGTATACTTGGTACTTTAGCACATCCAACCTAAACTTTAGCTAATCCAAGATGTCGCTGATTAATTTAGAAAAAAGTTGTACGTTTTTATGTTATCAGCACTTAAGCAAATTATGCAAACTTTATGCAATGATCTACTAATGACTTGATAACTTCCCTGTAACTCTTCCTAAGATATGCAGAAACTCTGTCTACACTGATGAATAATCACCTGCTTAATGGTTGAAGTGGCTTTAGGCGATAGGTAAATGACTTTCTGGTATTGTTTGGACAAATTATTGCAAAGGGTTCTTTTACAAAAACATGTTTTTAGATATTTAAACAAAATAAATATCACTGAGGTGTTTTGTACGCAAGTTGACATTTTAATTTTAAGAAATTACTTAAAGCTATTATTTTTCCTTTCCCTTTGTTTTGACTGTAAGATGTTTTCGTCGCCCTCCAGGGGTCCGTTTCCCAAAGCAGGTCTACTGAAAACTAAGGTTTCTAAACCTGTAATCAGGGAAATCTCTGAATTTTCTGTTTCACAGAGAGAGATAGTTTATTCAACCTGTGTTTTTGTTACCGTAGCAACATTCTCCCCAGAGCTTTTTTGTTCAGGAAACTCAGAGTGTCCTGTATCTCTCTCTCATCACCAGAGGGGTATTTGAGCAGCGGACTGCCACCACCTCGACGCCAGAGTGTTTTGGGTACTCTAGCCTCTCAGAGCTTAGCTCTGTCTAACTTTGGGTTTTCGTCTCTCTAAGTCCTCTGATCTAACCCTTTGTGGTTTTCGGCAGGATTATCTCCTGATCCACTGGATAAGCCTGGTCCTTACAGCCGTGGAAGGAACCCATTCGTCTCTCTGAGATACAGAAAATAATTCACCGCTTCTGTTTGCAGTCCCCTTCAATAATGCTCGGTGACTGTCCGCTCCGCTGCTCCTTTGGACCCCAACAAGTCTGCCTGTCCACCCTCCAGCAAGTAACAGCCTCATTCGAACTACCCCCACAAACAGGAACCAAGGAGCAACCACAAGACAACAACTGTGATTTCCCTAACTGACTATTTTCAGTTGTGGCCTGTAAATCCCATGGACCGTGAACTCACCACTCTGATCTCCCTCTAGAGTTTCCGGTTCCGGTTTACCAGACCGCTGGATATTCCGGCTGAGAATCCTGTGTGTTGTCTTTCTGAGTGCCACTCCCCGTCAATAAACTGTTAAACTTTTTCTCTGCCTCTGAGTTCGTTTCTGTATGTGGGCAAAACATTTGAAACCCATCATGACAAAAACAAAAGAAAAGAATTTACTAAGCTTGTTGGACAAAATCGGTTTAAAAAAAAACAAAAAACACTGCATGTCCTTTTGATGAGGATCTTATTAAATAATTATAGATACGATATGAGATTCATTTGTCAATTCAATGATTCAATGGATCGAATCATTCGTTTTCATTATCAATGCGGAATTGCCTGCATTTTTGCTTTGTAATTAGAATTTGTCAAAAAGAGTAATTTGGAAAGGCATTTCCAGGGAAGGCAGGCAAAATTTGCAGCCGGAGAGCATTTAGAGGAGAGCACAGATAGATTTATCCTCAACGATGGTGACGGAAGATGTGAGATTTCGGGGGTTTGAGAGCTCTGCTCTGATTGATGTCAGTTCCTGCTTGGTTCCTCATGACTCAATCAACTCCTCCCAACAGAAAGACGTATAACATATAGAGATTCCTTTATCGTGTTTCTATAATTTCATCAATGCAACAAAACCAAAACCGAAGCGGTAAGGAGCGCTGTGAATTCCACACGGTAAGAGCGTTCACTGCTCCTCCCTCACCTCACCTGCTTCTATGTGACTTTTCTTCCAGGATAAACATTTAATCATGAATGCTTATTATATATTAAAGCCCACATTGTCCTTTTTTTTTTATAGTGGATTAATACACTTAGAGTATGTGTTGCAATACAGGCTTATATAAGATTTTTATATTTGTGTGGCTCCAGACAGATTTATTTTTGTTTTTTTTGGTCCAGTATGGCTCTTTCAGCAGTTTGGGTTGCTGACCTCTGTTCCAAGTATAAATAGGTACCTAAATTCCTACTGGTATCATTTTGTTTTATTTACTTTCTGAAATTCAGTTTCTGCTGCAAAACTGTAATTTAGAAAATATATTACATCAGTTCACTCTTGGAGTGTGATTTTTACCAGAAGGAATCTTATTTTAGTGCTCTACTAATGAAGCTACAGACAAGAGAGTGCTTTTAATAAATGTTAAAACAGCCTGCCATAGTGCTCTTCATATAAATTTACGCATTACCTTGAGTAGAAATCCTCTCCTTCACCATC